GCAGGAAAGGAAGGCAGATTAGCGAATTGCCCTCCAGATGAAGAGCCAGTTCTATCCTCAGCATTAAGCTTTCACATTCTTTTCTGTGTCATAGCAAACTGGGAAAGTAAAAAGGGCCCCACTTAATACACAAGGAAACTGAGCCTCACAGAGGGTAAGTGACTTACCTCAGGCCACTGAGCCAGCCATGGCTACCAACTAGAACCTACTTTTTTTTTTTTTTTTTTTTTTTTTTTTTTTTCAAAATTATTTATTTGCTTATTTTTTTGTGTTTTTACATTTTTTATTCTTTTTGCCCCCTTGCTTCCTTCCTTCTCACCCTCGGCCATTTCCCACCCTCCTCCCACACTGTCTCTGGTATTCACAGTTGTTCTCCCTGCTTTTATACTGCCCAATATTTCAGTTTCTGCCACAAGTACATAGGTTTAGTATATATTAAGTGGGGACATACTTCTGACCCTTTTGCCACCAAAGTTACTTGAATTCATTAATTCCAAGTACACTCTCCCATTCTGACTTTTCAAAATTTTGGACAGATTCAACCCCAAACCACTCTCTCTATACACACACACAGATACACGTACACACAGACAGCAGAAGGTTCAAAGATATAACCAAATAGTTGAGTAAGATTACATAAGAGCCTGAAATGATCTAATCCTGTTAATAAAAATTCACTTAAAGATCCAGCAGGTGGCATGGAGGTTAAGGCACTGGATCTCACATGGCCAACTGTGTGGTTCAAGTCTGGGACACAGAGGCTTGAAAAACATGTCCTGTTGGGACCAGCAGTTAGCATAATGGCTATGTTGCTGAACTCCCATGTAGCCGACCACGGTTCGAGTGCCAGACCCGGTGGCTTAAACTCACACCAGGCACGTGTGCATGCGTGCCCAAAGTCCTGAGAGGAGAATGGAGGAGAAGGGATTGCGGTGTGGCCATCCCCCCCTGGGGGGTGATTTCTTGCTTTCTGTCTCTCTGTCTCTCTGTCTTTCTGGCGAGTGCATGTACCCTATAGCAAAAACCTCTCCGAGAAAAACAAAAAAAACATGTCCTACATATGTTGCATGTGTGCCCAATATCCCAAGAGGAAAGTGGAGGAAAAAAGATTGCAGAATGGCCATCCCCCTTGAGGGGTGATTTCTCTCTCTGTCTCTCTCTGGTGAGCACAACTGTCCAATAGCAAAAACAAAAAACAAAACAAAACAAAAAACCCTCACTTAAAACAGTTGACTACATGGGACTGAAAAGGTTGAAAAATTTTCTCATTTTCTTCAGGAACCAGAAAATTCTCTGCTCAAACCCACTGGCCACAGCATATATATGTTCATTTCCCATACGGCTATTTACTTTTATAGCACATGGTTCTTACACGTCCATCCATGCATGTGATTAGTAAGATGGTAAATGTGAAAAATTCTCTGGAAAAAAAATGAAAATTACATAGAAATGAGGGTTTTTTAAAAAAGTTTATGGAAAATGTGCATTAAAAAATTATGCACTGATTTCAATTTGTTTGCCCCAAATTAAGCTCATACTTTAATTTCATTTTTTCCACAACTTTTTTTTTAAAGGTTTTTGCCAAAGGGAATGTGTGCTCCCCAGAGAGAATCAGAGAGAGGGATAGTGAGAGGGAAAATGAAAAATCACTTCCCAGGGGGAATGGACATACTGTAATACCTTCTCCTCTATTCTCCTTTGGGATTTTGAGCACGCATGTCCATGTGCCCAGCATGATTTTCAGGCTACCAGGTCTGGGACTCGAATAGCGGTCAGCCATGTGAGAGTCCAGCACATTAACCACCATGCTGCCTGCTGCCCCCCACCCCCCCATTATCTACAACTTTTTAAGTCAAGGAGATACAGCTATGGACAGGAATATAGAAACAGATTATAACAAAAGCATAATTATATACTGATTGTCCAGTAAGTAAAAATATATAATATATCTTATCACAACATTCTCAATTATAATTAATTAGTAAATACTTTTAAATGTTGTTTTACCGAGAGTCATGTCTATAACTTCCCCAATTGAAATCTGAATACACACAACCCAAAAGAAAGTTCTCACTTTGAAGTAAGATTAGAATTTGGCTTCAATTCATAGCGTTCACTTTACCTCATCAATGCAATATATTCCAGAACACTTACCTTATCCTGTTTGTCGCCGAAGTGACTAAAATACCACAGACTGCAATTTGGGCTGGTGCCCTCAGGAGGATTCCATGTCCATGTGACTGTGCAGAGGTTTTCGATAGAGACACTCAAATTGGTCACAGGTGGCTGAGTTTCTGTTCAAATCAAGCATAAGAAATAAATGTATCAGCACCAGCCAGTATTTTCAATGAATGGTTCATTTAACCCCTTCTCCCAAGTCCTAGAAGCCCAGAATAATTCATAATAGCTGAGTTAACATAGCTGACATCTGCTGAGTCAGACATGGTTCTAAATACTCAATACATATTAATCCGTTTACTCCTCACAAAAGCTTTTGAGATAGGGGGTACTATTAGCTTCGTGTTAAAGATGAGGTGATCAAAAGCTCAGGGAGGTGAAAGCCACTTATCCCATATCCTATGAGTAGTAAACAGCAGAGCTGGGATTGCAACCTGGGAAATGTTGCTCCAAGGTCACATTCTTAACTATTTGCTATACTGTGAACACAGAGAAAATTTTAGGAAGAGTCTTCAAGAAGTTCATCAAAATGCATATGATGGGGGCCAACAGGTAGCATAGAGGTTAAGGCGCTGGACTACGACATGGCCAACCGCAATTTAAGTATCAGACCCAGTGGCTTAAAACTCACACTGGGTGTGTGTACATGTGTGCCCAAAATCCCAACAGGAGAATGGAGGAGAAGGGGTTGCGGCATGGCCATGCCTCCTTGGGGGTAATTTCTTGCTTTTCATCTCCTTGTCTCTCTCTGTCTTTCCAGTGAGCACATGCACCCTATAGCAAAAAAAAAAAAAAAAAAAGTCTCTCAAAAAATAAATTAAAATGCATATTATGAAAAAAAGGCAAAATAAATAGTTTAATTTCATTTTCCCACAGACTTTCTGAAGTCCTATGTACTCACTAAATACTAGCATTTTCAAGTTGTTCTCCAGGAGTCTGGGGGTTCTCTATGCTCGGGATCCACATCTCATTCAATATGAACAGTTCAATCTCAGCACTTCCGTGAGTAGGCTGAAGCAGCTCATCTTTAATTGTTTTCTAGCATAACTTGATACTTGTTTTTTTGTCATTTTTCCAAAGAAATACTGAGAAAAAGATTTAGCAGCCCTTTATACTCCCCTGAGGTCTGATACTAAACAGCTGGAACTGGTACTTTCACTAATCCGAAGAGAGAAGAGAAAGTGGAGAAGCTGAAACACCATTTCAAACTTTCCTGAGAACTCTTCCTGAGACCAGGGCCATCAAAATCATCCCCCAGAAACTGGGTTTGTTGGAGGACAGGCTTATACAGGAACTCTCTGCCCTATCTTTGCAACTTTTCTATAAATCAACAATGATTCTAAAATAAAGGCTATTAAAGTCATTTCAAAAATAATCCCTCCAAATCTTCTCAAGTGGCAAACTGAATCACTAATTAATGAAGGACTACAGTTATAATTTATCAAATGATAGAGTTAAATTTGACACTCTACACTAACGCTCTGCACTGCAGTGATCCCCTTACATAATCAGCAACTCTTAGGGACAGCCATGCCACAATTCCTTGTTCTCCATTCTCCTCTCCAGATTTTAGGCATGCACACATTTGCACCTGGTGTGATTTTCAAGCTGCCGGGTCTAGGACTCAAACCGCACAGCTGGCCATGTGGAATACAGTGCCTTAACCTCCATGCTACGTGCCGGTCGCTCAAAATTGATTTTTAAACTTCAGTTTTGAAATAGAGTAATAGCCTGCTCCATTTCAAATGGGACTAATTTTTCTCCCACCTGTTTTGAAATATCTTTAGTCAGGTCTTCTAACTGGTTTGCATTTTAGGACATTTGGGGTCTATCTGCTATCCTTTTCTGTTTCTAGTGGTTCCTTGCATATTCCCCATAATTTAAAAGCACACGTGGTTTCTGGGAAGCTGATAGAGTAGGAAGCACCAGGAACCTGTCTCCCTGCCTAGAGAACAACTGTACTGGCAGAGTCTGTCCGCTCTATTTTGGAACTCTACAGTTTATTGAAGGCTTGAAGCTTTCATGGAAAGGCCTGCAAAGTAAATTGCAGTCAATTTTAATCCATTTCAGTCCATTTCAGCTTTTAGCACAACAGTAGCTACACATCCCGCAGCCCCACGGCAGGCAGCTGTACACATGTTCCTGGAACGGCCTGCATATAGCTTGCTGGAGCTGGGGTGGGCAGAAAGGACCTATCCTCCAAATACTGGGATCTGTGCTCTGACCACTGACTGCTGCTTCTGATCACCAAGGTGCGAAAAGAGTGGAAGCCACTGTCATTGCTCCTCCCTATTTTGTTACTAGCAGAAGTGACTTCCAGGGGATTTAAAGGACTGGTGATCCCCTCCTCCATTTTTCTCCTTTTCCCCTTTTGTGAGCCAGACATTAAAAATTGGGACATTAAAAAAAACATCTGTATATACAAGGAAAATTAGAAAGTGATTGCACGAACCCAGGGAAAAGACCTGAGAAGATTTTCTTATACATCTCAGGCCGACCGTCAACACAGAGCCTACAACAATCAGAAATATAAAACAATATAAAAATATAAAAACAATAAACCAACCCTGGGCAGGGGCATGAGTCTACTTTCCAGAGTCAGCTTACTACTAGATTTGAGTGGCCAGTTTTGAATAAAAAGTCACAAGGCATAAAAGTCACAAGGAAAAATCTGACCCATTCAAAGGGGAAAAAGAAATGAACAGAAACCACCCCTGAAAAAGATCTAATAGCAAATATACTAAATATTTTTAAACAAACAGCCTAAAGATAATTCAAAGAAAATTAGGAAAATTTTTGTATAAACAAAATGGAAAGAGCTATAGAGATAGAAAACCAAAAAGAAATTCTGGAGCTAGAAAGAACAATAACTGAAAAGGAAAACTCAGTAGAGGAAACCAAAGGTAGGTCTGAGCAGTAAAGGAAAGAATGAGCAATCTTGAAGATTCTTAAAGATGGGAAAATGGAAATGATCAAGTCTGAGGAATAGTGAGGAAAAAAGGACTGCATAAAAGTGAATAGAGTCTAAGGGACCTGTGGGACACCACCAGTAGACCAACATATATATTGTGGGGGTCCAGTAAAAGAACAGAGAGAAAAAAAGAGTAGAAAGACTATGTAAAAAAAAAAATGAATGACATTTTCCTGGATTTGGTGAAAAATATACATACAAAATTAAAAACTTAGGGGATGCAATGAAAGCAGTGCTAATGGGGAAATTCCTAAATATAAACATTTATACTAAAAAACAAAAACGATCTCAAATCAACAAGTTAAGAAATTGGGAAATGAACTAACCAAATCCAAAACTATCAGAAGGAAGAAAACAATGAAGATTAAGGCACAGATACATAAAACAGGAAGCAAAAAAATAGAAAAAATCGATGAAATTAAGTCAGTTTTTTTTTTTTTGAGAGGTTTTTGCTATAGGGTGTGTGCGCTCGCCAGACAGACAGAGACAGAGAGATAGAAAGCGAGAAATCACCGCCTGGGGGGATGGTCACGCCACAATCCCTTCTCCTCCATTCTCCTCTCGGGATCTTGGGCACGCACGCACACGCACCCAGCGTAACTTTTAAGCCACCAGGTCAGGGACTCATACCGCGGTCGACTACGTGGGAGTCCAGCAACATAGCCATTACACTAACTGCTGGTCCCTTAAGTCAGTTTTTTGGAAAGATTAACAAAATGTACAAATCTTAAGCTAGATGGACTTGGGAAAAAGAGAGAAGATTGAAATAACTAAAATCAGAAATGAAAATGGACATGTTTCTCCAATTGTACAGAAATAAAGAGGTTTATAAGAGATTTACTGTGATCAGCTGTACACTAACCAATTGGATAACCTAAATGAAATGGAAAAATTCCTAGAAACACAAAACTAAATCACAAAGAAATAAAAATCTGGAGCTGGCACCATGGCCTAGTGCTTAAGGGAGCAGAATCCCATATAACCAAACACGGTTCAAATCCTGGTCCTGGCAGCATGAGAAACAGGCTGGATGTGTGTGTGTACACATGCACAAGTCTCCAAATAGATGGAAAAGAAGGGATTTAGGTATGAGCAAACCCCATGGGGGGGTGCTTTCTCTTGCTCGTTCTCTGTCTCTTGGTCTTTTTCTCTCTGGCAAGCACATGTGCCCTGCCCTCTGACAAATTTTAAAAAGACAAATAAAATCAGAATACACTGGGTCAGCAGGCTGTGTAGTGGTTAAGGTGGCTGGGTCCCACATGCTGACTATGCAGGGCAAGTCCCAGCCGGTGACTTCAATAGCATCCCACATGTGTATGTATGTGTGCCCAAAATCCTGAGAAGAGAATGGAGGAGAGGGTATTACAGTGGAAGAGAAGGGACTGCAGCATGGCCATCCCCTGCTGGGGGGGGGCGGACTTTCTCTCTCTCTCTCTCTTTCATCTTTCTGATGAGCACATGCACCCTATAGCAAACTTAAAAAAAAATCTGAGTAAAGTAAACCTATAAGCAGTAAGGAGACTGAATCAGTAATAAAAAATCTTCAACAAAGAAAAGCCGTGGGCCTTATGACTTCATGGTTGAATTTATCAAATATTTAAATAAGAACTACTACCAATTCTTCTCAAAATTTGCCAAAAAGTTGAAAAAGAGGGAATACTTCCTAACTTGTTCTATGAGGACCACATTACCTGCTATGAAAGTCAGCAAAGACACTACAAGAAAACTACAAATCTACAACCCCCTGAATATTGGTGTACATATCCTCAATTAAAATATTAGGAAAATGAATTTAGGAGCATAAAAAAGAATTATATCCCATGACAAAATGGGATTTATTTCTGGAATACAAAGATGATTCGACACACAAAACTTGATTATATAATACACCATGGTAACAGAATGAAGAGGGGAAAACACATGATCATCTGAATTGACACAGAAAAAGCATTTGACAAAATTCAACAACTTTTCATGATAAAAAACTCAACAAACTAGAACTATAAGGACAGTAACCAAATATAATAAGTTCTGTATATGAAAAACCCACAGCAAACATTACATTCAGCGGTGAAATAGAGAAAGCTTGTCTTCTAAGATTGGAACAAGACACAGGTAAAAAAAAAATCCCTACTTCTATTTAACATGGTACAAGAAGCTCCAGTCAGAATGATTAGAGAAGAAAAAGGAAAAGGCATCCAGTTGGAGCTAGTGATATTACCTCTAGCCTCAGGTTTTATATGCAGAAAACTCCAAGGATTCCACAAAATACTGTTAAAATTAATGCAGCAAGATATGAAATCAACACACAAAAATAAGTTGTGTTTCTATAAACAATGAATAGTCTAAAAAAGAAATTATGAAAATAATTCTATTTTACAATGGCATCAAAAAGAATAACACACTTAGGAATTAACTGAACCAAAGAGAAGAAAGGTTTGTACAATGAAAACTACAAAATATGTGACAGAAATTAGAGAAGACAAAAATCAATGAAAATATCCTATGTTCACACATTAGAAGACTTAATACTGTTAGGATCTAGATTCTATCTGAAGTGATCTATAGATTTAATGCAATCTCTATCAAAAGTCTAATCACATCTTTGATGAGAAAGAAAAACACATCCTAAAATTCATATGGAATCTCAAGAGACTCCAAAGAGCGAACACAGTCTTGAAAAGGAAGAACAAAGCTGGAAGACTCATACTTCCTGATTTCAAAACTTACTACAAAAGTACGGTAATCAAAACAGTATGGGACTGGCATAAAAACAGACATACACACCAATGGAATAAAACAGAGAGTCCACAAATAAACCCTCGCATCTATGGTCAAACGATTTTTAACAAAGGAGCCATGATCACTTGTAGGAACATGGCTGATTACCCCTAATTCTTTTAGACTGATAGTTTCAGCCCAGATCCAGTCCGCTAAGTTCCCTTGAAAAAAGCTCCAACTAGACTCAGGGCTGCATGGATCAAGAAATGCAGAAGCAGCTGCTTGTGTTTCTGAATCTCTGTTCTACCCAATCTTTCCCACGTGTGAGCACCACTCTATGGGGAAAAGGACAATCTTTTCAACAAATAGTACTAGGAAAACTGGATATCCACATGCAAAAGAATAAAGTTGGACCCTCACCTAACATCGAGTACAAAAATTAACTCAAGGGACCAGCAGTTAGCGTAATGGCTATGTCGCTGAACTCCCAGGCAGTCGACCGTGGTTCAAGTCCCAGACCCAGTGGCTTAAACTCACACTGGGCACGTGTGCGTGCCCAAGATCCTGAGAGGAAAATGGAGGAGAAGGGATTGCGGTGTGGCCACTCCCCCTGGGAGGTGATTTCTCACTTTCTATCTCTCTGTCTCTGTCTTTGTGGCGAGCGCATGCGCCCTATAGTAAAAACCTTTCCAAAAAAAAAAAAAAATTTAAGATCAATCAAAGACCTAAATATAAGCCCTAAAGCTATAAAGCTCATTGAAGAAAACACAGGACTAAAGCTTCATACCACTGTTTTTAACAATGATTTCTCGGATATAACACCAAAGACACAGGTAACAAAAGAAAAATAAATGACAGATTAGACTTCATGAGAATTTTTTAAATTTATACATCAAAAGACAATATAAACAGAGTAAAAAGGCAATCCACAGAATGGAAAAAAATATTTACAAATCATATATCTTATAAAGGAGTAGTATCTAGAATATTTAAGAACTCCTAAAACTCAACAAGAAAAGAAACAATCTGATTCAAAAATAGGCAAAGGACTTGAGTAACTACTTCTCTAAAGAAGATATACAAATGGCCAATAAGCACATGAAGATATTTAACATCACTCATTATTTTGGGAAATGTGAATCAAAATTACAATGAGACATCACTTTGTACCCATCAGGATGGCTACTGTCAAAAAAAAAAAAAAAGAAAATAACAAGTGCTGGTCAGGATCAGGAGAAATTAAAACCCTTGTGCAGTTGATAGAAATGTAAAATGGCATAGCTACTGTGGAAAACTGTATGGTGGGTTTTTCAAAAATTAAAAATAGAATTACCAGGGCCAGCAGGTGGTATTGTGGTTAAGGCACTGGACTCCCATACGGCCGACTGCAGTTCAAGTGTCAAACCCAGTGGCTTGATAATCATGCTGGGCACATGTGTGCACTTGCTCAAAATCCCACAAGTAGAATGGAGGAGAAGGGACTGCATCATGGCCATCCCCCCTGGGGGGTGATTTCTCACTTTCCCTCCCTCCCTGTCTCTTTCTCTATCCAGTGAGCACATGTGCCCTACAGCAAAAACCTAAAAAAAAAAAAAAAAAAAAAGGGAAAAAAAATTACCAAGATCCAGCAATTTTACTCCCGGGTATATACGAACATAATTGAAAACAGGGTCTCAAAGAGATATTTCCTACACTAATGTTCATAGCAGCATTATTCACAATAGCTAAAACATGGAAGCAACCCAAGCGTCCATCTACAGATGAAGAAATATGCAAAATGTGTTACATACACTTACTTTCAATGAAATATTATCAAACCTCAAAAAGGAAGGAAATTCTGACATATGCTAAATGAATGAACCTTGAGGGTATTACGCTAAGTGAAATAAACACCGTATGATTTCACTTATACGATATACTTTGAGTAATCAAACTGAAAGAGACAGATTGAGGAATAAGAAGTTATTGTTTAATGGGTACAGAGTTTCAGTTTTATAAATAAGCATAATGGAGATGAATGGTGGTGATGGTTGCACAACATTATGAATGTATTTAATAACACTTCAAAATGGTTACGATGGGGGCCAGTAGGTGGTATGGTGGTTGGGATGCTGGACTCCCACATGGCCTTCTATGGTTCAAGTCCCAGACCTGGCAGCTTCCTTTCTCACTTTCCTCCTCTCTCCGTCTGTCTCTCTCTGATGACTATAGCAAGTTTAAATAATAATAAAAATGAATAAAATAAAAATAATTTTTAAAATGGTTAAGATGGTAAACTTTAAACGTATTTTACCACAATAAAAAAATAAAACACACACACACCTCTCTGAAATGTAAATACAATCTGCAAATGTTTACATATGTGGTATACGAACACATGTGAACACATGTGAAGCGTGTGTGTGTGTGTGTATAATATGCCCAGAAAAATAAAGAATTAGCTGGTGACTGTCCTTCTTGCAGTTATCTTACAGCCCTTTATATATCATTTCAGTGCAGTATAGTGATTAAGAGCATGGTCTCTGGAGCCAGACTGCCTGACTTCATATCCCAGCTCTCCTACTTACTAGCTGGCACACGTTTCTTAACCTTTCCGTTCCTGAGTTTTCTCATCTATAACACGAGGATGGTAAGAGTAACCTATTGCAAAGGGTTATTAAGAGGATTAAATAACTTAGTACTGGCAAAGTGCTTAGAACAGTGCCTGTACAGAGAAAGTGTTAGGTATCTGCTTTCTTTCTTCTTTAAGGGACAAAAGTCCTAAACAGTTGCTTTGATTTTCTGTGAAGCTGAAAACCCATGGCCTTTGAGACAGAACAAGTATCCCTTTCGCCTTATAAGCTTTCCTTAGGCAGCTAATTTCAACCATTTCTTGGAGGTTGATCACCGACCTCAGAAAGGAGATCAGGAAGGAGAAAGAACCCAAATAATTCTCTGAGCTAAACTGTAAACCCCAAGTAAATCTGTAAGGTCACCTAGAATAGTATACTATTCAATTAAGAATTAAAACAGCCACCACTCTTTTCAAGTATAAGGCATTTTGCTTAGCTTCTAGCTTTTGCACTCTCCTGTCCAATCACAGAAGCTGGCAGAGACATGCACGTTTCGGGAAAAGTTAAGGAAATCACAAGAATCATGTATGAGTCATCCATCTGCTTTCCTCACATCCACTCAGTCATCAGTTCATGTGTCTGTTCTTGCCACATCTTTCTTAATCACCTTAATCATACCAATGTGCTTTGTGGGGCTTCACAAGGCAGGCAAACACCAGTAAGTCCTGGTCCTGGACAGGAGGCATTAAGAACACATCTTTCTAGTGGAGACCTGCAACTCTAGATTCCTGCATAGCTTCACACTCCACGGGCTCTCCTACCCTCCCTGCTCACTTCTTCTCCAATGTCATCTCCCTCTCACTGCTCCCCACTCTGGACTTCTAGGGCAAACAAAGCTCTTCTGCCTGGATCGACTTTGTCAACACACCCTCCTGCCAAGCTACACTCCTTACTGACCACAAAAGGGCACTCTCACTCCCCATTTCTGCGTCTCTGCTCCTGCTATTAACCCCAGTGGATAACTTTTCTACCTCCTGAAATTCCACCTATCTTGATGGTCTAGCTCAAGTTTCACCTGTCCTGTAAAACCAACAACCTTCCCAATTTCTTCTGAACACCTCCAATACTTACTGTTTGGACTCCTCAGTCCAGCTATTATAAAGCTAGTCTTCAATATATGATCATTTGTTTCCTTTTTATTTATTTATTTATTTATTTATTTATTTATTTATTGAGATTTTTCTATAGGGCACACGCATTTGCCAGAGAGACAGAGGCAGAGAGACAGAAAGTAAGAAAGCACTCCCCAGGGGAACTGCCACATAGCAATCCTCTCTCCTCCATTCTCCTCTCCAGGATTCTGGGCAGGCACATACATGCGTCCAGTGTGCGTTTCAAGCCACCTGTCCAGGACTTGAACTGCAGTCAGCCACGTGGGAGTCCGGCACCTTAAGCATCACCCTACCTGCTAACAAATGGACTGTACGTACTTTCATGGGTTCCAACTAGTCCTGCCCTGCTACCCTGGATGGCGCCCAGTTCCTCTGTCAACCAAGGACTCCCCTCACATAGTGTAGTGGTTAAGGGCACGGCCTTTGGAATCAGGTTGGTAGTGTGAGAAGCCTGGCTCTTCCACTTTACCAGCTATGGGACTTAGGGAAAGGGCCTTAGTCTCAATGTGCCCCAGTGTCCTCCTACAAGAAAATGGACTAATAACAGCACTTACTGATTAGGTTGTCTGTAAAGACTAGATGGAACAGTACAAGAAAAGCACTTAAAAACTGTCAGACATAAACACTGTATAAATGCTAGCTGTTATTATTAAGTCATGACACAATGTGGGCTATTGAGCAACTAAACTAAGCTAGTAACCACAGAATAGAGCTGAAGGAGCTCTCAGAATTTATAGAGTTCAACCTCCTCATTTCACAGATGAGAGCACTACAGCACAAGAGAAGGGAAATGACTAGCCCGGAGTCCTGCGACTCGTAAATGTCAGAACCACTGAAAGTCAAGTCTCCTGACTGGAGATACCTAATGGATTTCCACCACCACCACCCACCATACCCTAATACAATTCTATCAATATTTCTCATGAGGAAAAAACGTTCCTGTCTTCTAACAAACCAAGCTACCAATAAACTGTACTGGTAAATCTGATTACGATGGAGGTTGCCTGTATTGTCTGAAGGCCAGCTGTTGTTTCAGGTGTGTGTGGGAGGGAGTCTGAAGGAGGATACTAGAGTGGCAATGTGGAAATCTGGAGACTAAGGGGCCGAGTGACCTTATGCCAGTCCCTTCCCTTCTCTGGACTGCAATTTCCCCCATATGATCATGGAAACCAAATGTCCCCAACTGAACTACACTTTGGGGACAAGGATTATGTGGCATACTCTCAGGTTTTAAGTCAACCTACAAAGTCTAGTACTAAATAAAAGAGATACTTGAATAATTATTGACTGACAGACTTCAAGCCTCTCTCAGGTCTCTATGGAATGCCACCTTTTCAGTGAGGTCTTCTCATTCTACCCTATTTACAATGGCAAACCCCTCCCCTACTTTGTTTTTCTCTATAGCACTCAGTCGCGGGACACACCATCCATTTTACTTTTTTCCCTCCTCTGACTCTGACAATAGCGTATTAGCTCCAGAGGGTAGGGACTTGATTTGTTTTGCTCTTGTCTGCAGATTCTCAGCCCCTAGAACACTGCCTGGCAGAAGCAGGCTCTGCATGTACTGTGTTGACTAAATCAATAGAGGCCATCAAGGTTTCCTCATCATTGTTGGAACTTGGGTTTCAAAACACAACACACTGGGAAAAATGCAATAAGGAAATTGTAGGTGATTCTGTGACAGAAAAACCTATAAGATTTTGAGCTAGCATTGTCCTCCAAATGTCCAGAAGATCATGCACATCAGGAGGAGGAAAACATCATTAATCCTCGATTTTTTACAACTTTTCAGGACCATTAATTCTAAGATGCTGTACAAGGTGAAGGGTATATATAGAAACTCTCGAAATTACCTTTGCAACTTTTCCTTAAACCTAAAACGTTTCCAAAATATAAAGTTTATGAGAGCTGGGACCAGCAGGTGGCATGGTGGTTAACATACTGGACACTCCCACATGGCCAACTGGGGGTCGATTTCCGGCCCGGGTGGGTTCGAGTCCCGGACCTGGTGGCTTTCTCTAGCGCTCTCTCTCTCTCTCTCTCTCTCTCTGTGTGTGTGTGTGTGTGTGTGTGTCTGGTCAAATTAAAATAAACGAATGAATAAATACAGTTAAATAATTCTTTAAAAAATATAAAGTTTATGGGAGCAAGCGAGAGAGGGCATCTGCCTGGATGATGCTCTGGATTACCAAAACAAATTCTCAGAGCTGTGACCCTCACGTCCTTTTTCTACAGGGATGAGCATCTTCAGAGGTTCCCTTCAACTTCCACCCTCAACAGCCATCCTAGGGAGGATGAGGATCCTCGTGGCCCCGGGTCAGGAACCCGGGCACGTTCCCCGCTCGCCCAGACTTCGGTGGTCATCCCCTCGTGGGCTCACACGCGACAGTCGGGGCAGGAGCGGCGGC